GTTTCATGATTTGTATAGGACTGTGTAATTTATTTAAATTGAATGCAGAAAATGCGAATTGAAATTGTAACAAATGAAAAAGAATGTTCAATTCAGCCTGTGTCACAATAGACATCGATGTTCTGCGAATTGGATTGCACATGCATGATAATCGGCAACGCATACGTCAAACCGAAAGCCTAATCAAGTATTTGTAATCCCTTAAATGAAACGTTATGCACATTCATTCATTATTTTGAATTTATGTTTTCCAAATTCAAACGCACAATTTCCGAAATTGTCCGGGAAAACCTATATTTAAAATGTAATCTGTAAGTCTACCCAAATTGAAAAAAACTAAAAAGATGATGGACAAGACAAGAATTAATTGTTTGTTTGAGAAACCCCAGTGATGTCGGCTTGCATGTCATTTAGCCCTGAGCTTTGTTAATTTTACACTGTTTTCAGTTGGGGTCGTTTCAGTGCACCCTGCATAGCGCGCGTGGATATGCCGCCGACTGATTACCGCGTACGGGACGAATAACGACGACAGCATTGACCAAAGCTACAATGGAAATTACCTCAATTTTTTCTTTTTTTGGGGGGGGGGGATTACTCCAAAATGTTAACCTTTAGTATTTATCAACAATCGTTAGTTTTGCCCACTTGAACTCTTCAAAACTATATCATGGTGTTTGCAATTTTTTCAATTGGCCCTAAAAATGGAAATTCCTTGAAACTTGTAGGGACTCGGGCCTCTTGGAACACATAATTTTCCTTAATACATTAAAAAGAAAAGAAAAGAGTAATGTACGCTTCTACTGGTTAGTGAACTCGAAACTAAGCGTCTATACGTGAAGCGTCTCCGTAGGCTAAACGCATTATTCACCGGCTTGTGCAGTGCCCCCCCCCCCCCCCCTTATTGTAGTCGCCGATTAGTAGTTGCTGATTAATTAGGCAAGACTCCGCCTCTTGACCTCCTATATATTTTGACCAATTAGCGGGCGCTTTCTATATCGGGTCTTCGGTCATTCGCCCGTTGCACGCAATAGACAATGGATTTAAAAACACACACACACAGTCGTTTTTTGCTATGCTTCCGAGGATTGGCTTTGTGTTTTCCTTTGTCCCTGTAATATAACACTCTCCCATAGACTAAGCACACAAACCTGCGTTCGAGGACAATAGGCACCTTCCTTCGAGGATCAATGGCCCCTTTGTGCTCCTTTTGTTGTCTGTCCTCAGGCGTAATGCCATGCAGGAACACACCCACACATGTCATGCGTTCTGTATTAATACGCGATGTGGAGCTGGCTGTTTGTTATTCAAAAGCACTGCATTCAAATTGACCAATCAAACTATTTAGTCCTGATTTTGGAATGAAATGACGTCACGATCTAGTAAAGTCAACTCCAATTGGCTAGCGTGTGGCTTGCATTTTGTTTACGGCAGTGACCACAATTTGTGTAGCGCCCTCTTTTGACATAAAAATTGAACTGGTTGACACGAGTATTATTAAAAAGGGAGTTTTTTTAACTGCATGTCATTGTTTTTGTGAAGTTTATTTCGATATTCCACATAATCATGTTACTTTGAATTAACTTGTGAAATTTCAATTCGATGCAACAGATACTGGAGTTATCTTGTAGACACCGGGCGTTGCCGCTTTCGACGTGTAATAAAATTGACTCCAGTTCGCCTTATATCTATTCGCGTTTTTTTAATGGTTGGTCATTTTCGCTCCAATTTCAAAAACATTTGCAAACCAATCACTAAATAAATAATTTTAACCAATATTCCTGGAGTTATTATCCCCCCAACGAGCCTGTTAGTTTATTATTTTTATTTGACGATTCTTCTTCAATTTTGAGCATTTGGAGTACGTTATGACGACCAATCACCAGATGTAATGATACACTAATATATGTCTTGAGTTGTCTGCCCCACAACGCTACAATGTTGTTTTTCTCCCATGAAAGTTGACTTCGGTACATGTATTAGGCAGTTTTATCTTATTATGGCTATGGGTGCACACCGGTAAATATAGGCCTAAATGCATCCACCGAGCTCCGTGAATAAAAGTTATTCCCTCAAAATATTCTGTATTAAAGAGTTCTCAGAGCCATAAAACTGGGAAATTGAAGAGATATGGCAATGAACCTCTGGCCCGGACCCGGGAGCGCTTCCAGTTCTGAGCATCTTCAATTTTTTTTTCTTGGATGCAATTGGGCCCGAAAGTGGCGCTCCTTTGCCATGTTGTGGAGGGATCGTTTTTCAAGATGGCTACTTTTCCACTTTATATTGGTCGTCTATTTTGGGTGAGAATATCTCAATAAGTCAGTGGTCAACCCACAAAAAAATGAAAATAAAAATGAAAGATGACATGCTGATTATTATTTACTGTGTGAGTTCTGAGTATTTTTAAAAGAATTTGGAAGTATGGGCATTTAGCACTAGTGTCTATGGGAATTTTAATACATGGGTGCAAACCACAGTAAATCGGTCCGAAATTGTCTACGCCGGCCAGATCAGGATTTGCATGCCCTCAAATTCTTTAGTATTTGAGCATTTTGAAGGCCGTGAACTTGATGATTTGTAAACAATAAGGTTGGAAGCCGTGCAGAGGACTACGAGCTGGTACTTCAGTGAAATGTAGATGATGATTAAGCCCTGAATGGCCCTATTTTGCGATGGAGCGTAGACGTCCATTTTCAAAATGGCGATGGGCTTCATGCATTGATCTCCATATACACAGACTGGATAGGACATCGCGCAGTGTTTGTGCACGAATGCGCGGCCGAACAATGGCGGCGCGTTTACTGTCAGACGGGTAAACGCGCATTGTGCTTTCACTTTGTTTACTTTGGAAAATGGATTATCGAGTGAAATTTTTCTTACAGGAGGGAGTTCAAGCGCTCCTCCAAAACAAATAACTGAACGATGAAGAGTTACCCTCAATCCCTCCAAACAGCTTTTCCACACTTTCTTGATATATGCATTTTCGAAATTCAAGAACCCCCCATTTCCTTTTCCCTTATTTTTTTTTAATCCCTCTATCCTCCTCCCAAAAATGATTGAAAGTAAATTTCCATTTCATTTTTGGCACATTGGTCATTAGAGCACACTAATTACCCTATCAATGAAATGAATAATTGTATTAATAATATGCTGAAATGACATTAGGCCTATATTTTTTTAACTGAACACTCACTCGAAAAATTGTATGGAGATTCATTCAATGATTGATATATTTATTAAAAACCCGAACATAAACCAATTAGAATCTAAAAGGTAAAAACCCCTAAATTTTACAAAGTAATCAGTAAGAACTTCTTCCCGTCCCTAGATTGATCAGGGAATGACATCGTTCACCTCTTGTGAAATTGTGTGAAAGGAGATGAATCACAAACCAAAATAGTACTATACTAATATTGTCAAAGAATAATTCAAGCTTCGCACGGTCTTGTTTATAATTAAATGTTTAGCTATACTTCTGAAAATAAATATAATTACTTGTAAGCGTAATGGGAATCGTTTTTGTGAGCGAATATGACGGTGTATTAATGGCTATAGCTAGTAATCTTATAACGGCGTACACAATATAATTTCAAACCGTAAAAGTACTCATTGCTTTCTTCACCATACAAACTGTCAATAATGTGACAGTCTTGGGAGCTCATAAAAATACTTGCTTGAACTCCACAGCTTCTTTCCAAAAACAAAATCAATCAATGTTAACAGTTCCACATCGTAAGAATTAATTAAGTCAAACTCTCAGATGCCTATCACATCGCATGTTCCATTCAGTGGATGATATACGGTATTCGATTCCATCCCTCCGTGAAGTTCTCCATTTTCGTCCGTCTCGGATATCGTCCGCAGCTGGTGGTTTTTACTATGGCTTTGCTGAAGTTCTTTGTTTGATATGAAGGTCAATCGGCCGGTTGTGCAGTAAGTTAGCATAAACCATCTCCTCAGTTTCTCTTTATAAAGAAAAAGAATAGAAACATTTCGGTAGGCGTTAAGCCAAAGCAGACATAATTCAATCAGATTTTGCATATATATGGAGATCAATGGCTTCATGACGCGCAATATTCGTAGCCTCGTTGCCATTTTGTGATTGGACGTTGAACGACGTTCGTTTGATGGTGTCTTCATATCTCCAGTGCAAGTAGCTGCAAGCTCGGTCGCAAGTCCCACTCTTAAAAATACGTGGTTAAAAAGTAACCATGTCGTGGTCATTTTTAACCACGTTCCCGTCGTCAAATATGCACCGACGACATCCGTGGTCAAAACGACCCCACCTGACGTGGTCAGTATAAATAACCACGTATTTTGGTCGATATTTGACCCCATTGTGGTCATATTTTTAACCCAATTCCGTGGTCAATTTAACCCCATTGCCGTGGTCAGCCATTTTGACCAATTCCCGTGGTTAAAATTTCGCAACCCGATTTCGTGTTCAAAAAAAAAAAAAAAAAAAAAAATCATGGAATAAAAAATTCTACAAGTAATCCTGAAATGGTGCACTTAAAATGAAACACCTAAAATTCAACGAAGGGAAACTTAGACATAAGAAAGAATGTTTTAAGAGTGCGTTATCTTCAATACACATTTTTCTTTAATAAATTCCGAATATCCTTATACATTTGTTAACTTTTTTTAAATGAATGCAGTTGACTCTCTTAGTACAAACAATTCTTTCATTTTTTTAGAGACATATGAGCACCAAATGTTACAAGTACAATTTAACAGCACACAGATGTTTTTCATTAATAAATTGATGGTGTGAACAGTTTGTTTCACCAGTCTATTATATATCTGATTATTTTAACCAACTTGCACAGAATACAGCATTCAGGTACATACATGTATGTATTGTAATCATTGAAAATGAACTGTCAGGTTGTACATGTAGCTGCAATTATTTAATGATTGTGGTACATTTTCAGTACATTTTAAAAATCTCAAGTATGCAAAAGCTAACACTTGTGTCACCTAATCAACATAATCAAAGATAATGTCAGGATTAAACAAAAATGGTTTACAGTCAATAATTAGAATTTCTTTAAGTATTTTCTGCTAAATTTAAAAAAAAAATGAAACAAAATTTGTGAGGTCTATTTGCAGTAGAGAGTTTGGTTTGAACTGACTGAACACTGTAGGACCCGTCTATCTTTGGTTTGCATCCTCGTGTTGAAGGTTGTCGCTGACATTCACTCACTGTTTGGACACCTAAAGTAAAAAAAAAAAAAAAGGGAACTTAATGAATACTTCTGGAAGTAAATTTAATGTTTTTGTTGCATCAGTTTGAAATTTGAGTTGCATGACTGATAGACAAAATACTTTCACTCAGTAATTCACTTTTTTAATCTAAAAATTACATGTGCATTGTAAACATGTTGTGTACATTTAATTTTCATGTTTGTGATACAAAATTACTTCATTGATGTTCAGAATGTATCCACAGTCGTAAGACTAATTCGAAAACCTCATTGTTGTACACATGAAGAATAATTACCTTAAATTTAGTAGCATTAACACAAGCTGAACAGCAATAACTAGCATGACAGCTGGCCCTCTACGGGTTGTCTTCATGATGTTGGACGCATCTATCAGTCAATCATCCAGATCATTGCAGGAATGGTCACCAGTCAGCCAGGGCTGAAAATAAAAACAAACACAGTTTGTTTTTGTCAAAAATGTTATTCTTGGGACATTGGAAGACCATTTCACTGACTAAAATTACACATAAGCCTAGCCTGCATGTCCATTACTTGTGCCCGGCTCACGTACGAGCTGGCTCGCGTACGAGCTGGCTCGCGTTCGAGCTGGCTCGCGTACGAGCTGGCTCGCGTACGAGCTGGCTCGCGTACGAGCTGGCTCGCGTACGAGCTGGCTCGCGTACGAGCTGGCTCGCGTACGAGCTGGCTCGCGTACGAGCTGGCTCGCGTACGAGCTGGCTCGCGTACGAGCTGGCTCGCGTACGAGCTGGCTCGCGTACGAGCTGGCTCGCGTACGAGCTGGCTCGCGTACGAGCTGGCTCGCGTACGAGCTGGCTCGCGTACGAGCTGGCTCGCGTACGAGCTGGCTCGCGTACGAGCGTCAGGTACGTCAGGTTTGTGGCCAAGTCTGTGGCCAAGTAGGCTAGTACGTCAGGTCTGTGGCCAAGTAGGCTACGATGACAGTTCGCACACTTGAATTTACAACAAATTTCGGTAAACGAGGCACACAAAATGGAATAATTTGCCCGCTGATAACTGTTCAACTGTCAATGCGGAGGCACATTATGCATGACGGTAACGTACTTTAAATCAATGACGAGCTAGGCCTATGTCATGTAGGCCTATGTCATGTATGTTAAATCGCTGTTGACATGGTTGACCATTAGCCCAGGTTGGACGAAGTCTTCATTGCAATCCCTCCGTAACGTAGGGAGGAAAGGGAGTCCACCAGGGCTAGGTTTAGCCCCACTAGTGTGGCCGTCGGTATGCTGCGCTGAACCAAAGCGCAGCATACCGACGGCCACACTAGTGGGGCTAGGCTAGGTTGACCATCATGAACATAGGCCTAGGCCTAGCCTACCCGCAGCAGCACAGAAGCGGAACTTTGAACGAATATATTTCCCTTTTTTCGGCGTTACATTAAAGACCTTAACGGCTCAGGCGTTTTTACTCAATGAAAAGTATTGTATTACCTCGAAATAAATATAAAAACTGACTTACATTGTTTGAAAAAGCTGATTCTGATCCACGAAACATCGGCACATCGAGCAACAAAGATGGCGGACAATGAAGTGGAAATTTCCGCGCCGCGCGCGCGCACGGTGCGCATGCGTGAGTGTATGCTTTTTGACCACGGTTATTCGGGGTTACTACATTGACCAAGTGGATGTCAAATTTTTTGCAAATCAACCACGGAAGTGGTCAAATAAATTTGACCACGGAAAAAATAACCACGTATTTTTAAGAGTGGATATATATAGCGCTGCTTACGCACCCGTGATCCGTACTCAGTATACTTTCAGATAAAAAAAACGGTCTGTTTTCATAAATGAACATCATAAAGAAAATAGATTTCCAATTTTCCAAATGATCTATAGTTACATCTTGAGATCGTTCAGACGCATCCCCATAAATGCATGAAAGTGAATACGGAGTGTTGAGTAATTAGTTCTTCCGGTCGCATCATCAGTCCTTTTTAGTTAAGGAGATATTTTAAAAGACGTATTAACTATTTTTAGATTAAAACAATGATTGAAATGAAAAGCAGGGATCAATTTAATACGCATAATAGTACATAAAATTTATAAATTTACATTTGTAACATATTTTTTTTTAAAGGAAGCATGAATATATGAATAAATAAGTTTTTTTAAGAGAGAAGTAATTCTTCCATTCCCAGACTTTATGTACTAAATTAATGTCTACTTGCAGATAGCTTGCAATGTTCATTTAAATATCGAGATATATACACAGTAGGGTTTTGTGAAATGCTAAAGTTGTTTCTTTCCCCATTTCTGATCTGTATCATTATGTGAACGAAATGTATCACAGAAAAACCTGCAGAATCTGGTCTTGTACGATGAACATGTACGTGCGGCGCCCGTACATGTACTTCAACGTCGTTAAATTGTTGAATCACAAAATGGCAACAAGGCTACGACTATTACGCAGTTTCCTGCTTTTAGGGGAACGTGATCATCTTCAGATGAAATTTTCTCCCAAAAGTCATCAATAAATCCCCCAAAAAATTGGAAAAAAAAAGAAAAAATGATGAGATAAGCATTAATTTGATGTGTGTGTCGAACCCCTTGGACAGTTGCGAGTATTTTCCCTGAATTTCTGAATTGGGAGCATTTACCATTGGGGTTTATAAAGTTTATTTTACTGGTCTGCAACCCTATGAGGCGTCCGACTTAATATGGCCAAGTTCGCGCAAGGACTATAGTTGACCAATGGTTAACCAACGTTTGCCCGAACTCTGTCTAGTCGAATACAGGTCAACTCGTACGCGAACCAACTCGTACGCGACCAACTCGTACGCGGGTCAATTCGTACGCGAACCGACTCGTACGCGGACCGACTCGTACGCGGACCGACTCGTACGCGGACCGACTCGTACGCGGACCAACTCGTACGCGTGAGTTTAGACGATTGGTTTAGCTCACATGGACAGATGAAATTAGGTTCGGTACGGTAGGTCGGCATAATTTAACCTTTTCTGAAAGGTTGAGATTTTCAAATTACATGTAGTTGATTTTTGAATCCGCCAGTGCTACTTACAGTAGAAGAATTCTGCGTTTGTTTGTTTTTTTACAAGTTCGCTTGATTGATTGGGAAGTTGTCTTCGCGATAACCAGTATGATTGGTTCCCGCCGCACCGCGCACTGTGTATGCCGCGGTACAATTGCTGGTTGGTTAGACAAGTAAAATGACAAGAAAACACCGATATTTGCGAGGTCTATTGTATAAAAAGGAGCTACTATAAAAAAAGGAATATAGCATCACGCATGCTTATACAGTTGTACGGACAGTGTCCGCAAGTTTTTTGCTAGGTTCAGATAGTTTTTTAGTCCTAATTATTATATATCCAAATAATATTTTGTAAAAAAAAAAAATGGGGAGTTGATTTTTTCATTTTTTGTTAAAATCAGAATTTTATATAATTTCACCGGAAATGCGAGGTTTCTTGGGTCAAATGCGCTTTTCTTGGGTCAGAAAATTAATTTTTTGCTTGGGTCCGATAATTTTTTAGTCCTAATTATTATGTATCCAAATTATATTTTGTAAATTAAAACAATGGGGAGGTGAATTTCATTGATTTTTTAAAATTAGAATTTTATTTAATTTCACCAGAAATTCGAGGTTGCCCTAAAAGTATTTTTTTTTCTTGGATCCGAAAATTAATTTTTAGCTTTGGTCCGATAATTTTTAGTCCTAATTATTATGTCTCCAAATTATATTTTGTAAAATAAAACAATGGGGAGGTGAATTTGATTTATTTAAAAAAAATTGAATTTTATTTAATATCACTGCAAATGCGTGGTGGCCCTGAAAAGGACCGATTGTGTTTTCAGTTAGTGCAATTGTCTATTCTCTCACTCCCAATCACACACAACGGTCACACATTGAACTACGGACTACCCGTCACACTATTCCCAAATTCTTCCCAACCATGCCAACCCAATCCTCGAAACCACTCCTAAAATGGCCCGCGTACGAGTTGGTTCGTGTACGAGTTGGCTCGCGTACGAGTTGGCTCGCGTACGAGTTGGCACGCGTACGAGTTGGCTCGCGTACGAGTTGTCTCGCGTACGAGTTGACCAATCCGCGTACGAGTTGACTCGCGTACGAGTTGGTTCGCGTACGAGTTGACCTGTTTCCGTCTAGTCGACGGTGGTTGACTACGCTAGTCGACTATTTGGAACCATCCTACTGGGGTTGGTTGCTTCGCTGGTAACCATAGCCGCGCGCGTTCATAATGTACAGCAGGGAGCCAGGATCCAGACGTTTTGCAATGACATTTTGACCAGCGTTCGACTAGAGACGTTCGCACTTTGCTATCAGTGCGCAGGCGTAAGGTACGTCACAAATCAACCACTAGTCGACTAATGGTCCTTGCCCGAACTTGGCCCCAGGTCAGGTAGCCTCCGGTAATACAATGTATTACAATTCACATCACGTGACTAAAACGGGAGGAATTCCTCCTTTTTCCGAAACTATCCGAAGTTTGCCGAATTCATTTCGTCGACAATCGGATAGTGTCCGAGTATTTCCGAGTATAATATAGGTTTTATTAACTGCTAATTGCTTATTAAAAACTTTAAAAAACTAGTTGATAATTAATATCCAATGCTTTTACTTAGAAAACTTGAAATTCAACGACGATTTTGCACTCGGATCGTATACGGGGGCGAACTTTTTGCTGCGTCATGCACTAGTTTGAATTTGACGACCGTTACCGGCATTTTCCAAAACGCGGCGTGGTCTCAATTCGGCTCCGCCTGCTAACAGTGCTGTTTGGGTGTCCAACTTTGAAGATTCCAGGTTAAAATTAGTCAATGTTTTTTTTACAGAAGTATTAAACTGTATATCATAACTGTATGATATATGAAGCAAGTGATTTTTTTTTTTTAAATTATCGGAACATTAAAAGCTTTATGTGATAAAGCGAATCGGAAACGAAGTCGAGCTTTGAAAAAGGGCCGTCAATGTCGTCATGTTTATTTTTAGCCACGGAGGCTGCCTGACCTACAATTTAGACGTGTAGAAATTGTCAGGTCGGGGAACCAGACTAGCGTTTGACTAGAGACGTTCACACGTTGCTATCAGTGCGCAGGCGTAAGGTACGTCACAAATCAACCACTAGTCGACTACTGGTCCTTGCCCGAACTTGGCCTATGATGACCACAATTTGTGTAGCGCGCCCTCTTTTGACAAGCAATTGAAGTACAGTTGACACATTATTTGTAATTTTTTGTGTAGCGGGAATTAGGAAGGATTTTCGACTTCTGCCTAGAGGATCTTCGGCGAGGATTTCAATCGTATTTACTGAAGTATTGCATTGTTAGCGATCTTCTGCACCATCTTGGCGAGTGGAAAGTATTATAAAACTACAACAAGCCTACAAATCATCTCTCGAATGGATTGACTCCAGGAACGCGTGCCGCAATCTGCACTTTTGAAAACGTCAACCGTCCACCGCGCCTTTTCACGGGCGGGAATAACCAGTGCTCGACGTGAGATTGACGCTTCGTCTTGTCTTGATTTCACTTGGTCTTGTCTGAGCTGCAAAGACTTGGTGGTGCAGTTATGACTTTTGTGAGTTCATCTTGTGACAATTTGGGAGTTTTGTGCTGGAGCTCAGCAGTCTGCAAGCCAACATTCAACAACACCGTCGTGGTGAGTGACCATTGCTCTGATAGCGTATGTGTAGTTTCGGACCCCATTCCTATATTAAGATTACACTCACCCAAAACAGCTGACTAAGTAATTGACACTCAAAAGTGACATTCTGATATTTTTTTCCCCATCTGAACAGCTGGTAAAGAAGACTTCTTCAATATTTGCAGTTTTAAGTTTGTGTGCATAGGGCAGGACTTTGATTTTCAGTAACAACTGATTGTGCATGTCTTTGAAATGTCAGTATGAAATGGTGTGCGTAATAAATAGATTCTGACAATTGATCAATGAAAACATAAGAAAATGTTCAGATGAATTGACTGCATGCAGCGACATTTGTGCATGTGACGGTATTTATGTTTTTCAGCCTCACCATTTAACCCTCTACAGGATGTATTTAAAAAAAAAAACCAGGCAGGTACAATGACCAAGACGTTAGAGTTCTGAAGTTAAATTACTAGAGCGCTAACTTCGTGTACAAAGTATTGCCTGCTGGGCGCATCCATGTTTGTGCACAAACCTAGGCTATGGAGACCTAGAAATTGTGCAGGGCTTTTGTACGGCTATTTGCATATCTGCGTTTGTATTCCATACCGGTGCGTTATCGAAGCCAATACACCCAAAACCGAAACGCACGATCAGCAAATGAGCGTGTCATTGTGCCCTACGCAAACAGTGCAACGCGTGCGCGTATTGACTATTCGCTGCAGATGCTTTTTGCCGTCGCGTTTTTTTTAACCGTCATGACGCCTTTGAGTTGTTTGCGTATGTTCTACTTGCGCGTTGCATGCAGAGTACACTTTTAAAATTCAATCCATCTAACTTCAAAATGTTCTGCAAACACGGACATGACTTCAAAATGTCTGCGCCCAGGACGGCTTCAAAGCATCTCCGTGCTTCAAAGCACAACCGCTCTATGATATAGACCCACTGTGGCATGAGAGGGAGGTGTTTTTTCAGTAGACTTGGATGCCGGGCGTTTGTAGCGGTTAGGCCATGTAGAGGCAGCAGGGTACCAGGTGTACTAGATCGGCTGTATAACACGCCACGGGCGTCGATTACCA